GCAACCCACCACACGTGGACACGTAGTCCTGCCACACCTCCGTTCAGCCTCCGGGAAAGTGACTCAAGGGTAGGGATGAGGCCAGGGAACTGATAAGAACCCTGACATTGCAGAATTGATTTCCAATTACCCTTTTTTCCCCACCCCAACAAGCATTACAAATCAAATTCCTACTGTATTGGGTCTCAGCTGCCAGCTTCTGACATGAGAATGTCATCATATATGATGCTGATTAAGGACCCAATTTTTACTTGGACAAGTAGGTGCTCCCATCTGCCCTGGTCAATATGTGACCTCCGACCAACGTCTCATTATCACATTGCTGTTCCTCAGACATTGCTTTGCAAATTTCCTATGTTACAACAGAGTGCTTTGGGAGGTCCTGAGGTTATAAAAGGTGCTCTGTTAATATAGTGTTTCATTCTTACTAAACGGCATAAGGACCTGCTATTCTTACGAAATGAAGCTGCATGACATCCCTTGTCTCATCAGTAATGATGTTTTAATGGGCTGGAAATCTCTACACAACCACCACTGTGAGCCTGTGGTACTGGACAAGAAGTGTTTTGAGGTAGCTCGCTGTCACCAATCCTCCTCTTTCTATCTTTATTTTCTCTGGGCCTATCCAGCAAATGGTGTTGGAGGATACTGCAGAAGAGACAATGTTCTTAGATAACAAGATGGTTTACTGCAAAATAGCAATGTACAAGTACAATACTAGGATCCTTGGGAGCAGGTGTATATATACCCAGTCCCTAGGGAGGCTTGAGTAGAACTCCCTGTCTCCATCTACAGATTGTGTATGATATTCATAAAAGAAACGTTAATCTCTTCAGAATCGTTACTTATTTACAAGTAGTAGTTGATGAGTTTTTAAAATTTGTTTCAGTGCTTTATTGTCTAAATTTTAACCCTTTCTGCTATTTGGCAAGAAATGGACTTGAGGAGAACTTTTTAAATTTGCTTTCTGTGCCAGCTTCTTTGAGAAAGAACAGAATTTTAACTCCAATTTGGGAGCAAATTCGGGTGCAGATGGGGTCAATTTAAAGCTCAAAAATGTGATATCAGATCAGAAACCTGGCATGATCCCACCCACTTCCGAGTTTATCCAGGGCACTTTTGCAGGAGGGGAGGGAAATCTCCATGGAGCTGTTGGATAATTAATTTCAATACAAGAATAGGCAATAAATGTGACTTTAACCCAGCATTTTGTGTTAAGAGCCAGTGCATGGGTTTCTTAAACTGATCCATTGTTCACTGAATCTGACAGTTATTGTGCTTTTTATGTGAAAGGTTTGTCCTCACAGCACTTTGTTAACGATCCAAGTTTCACTGTCATGTTAGTAGTGGATTGCAAGAAAAGGAGTTTGTGGAATATCTATGAGATGGCTTTTTGGAGCAGCTCGTGGTGGAACCCACAAGGGAACAAGCAATACTGGATTTAGTGTTGTGCAATGAGGCAGACTTGATAAGCGAGCTTAAGGTAAAGTAACCCTTAGGAGGCAGTGATCATAAGATGATAGAATTTACTCTGCAATTTGAGATGGAGAAGATAGAATCACAGGTAACGGTATTACAGCTGAATAAAGGTGACTACAGAGGTATGAGGGAGGAGCTGGGCAGAATTGACTGGAAGAGGAGCCTAGTGGGAAAGACAGTGGAACAGAAATGGCAGGAGCTTCTAGGAATAATTCAGGAGACGCAGCAAAAATTCATCCCTAGGAAAAAGAAGCATCGTACAGGGAGGATGAGGCAACCATGGCTGACTAAGGAAGACAGGGATAGCATAAAAGCAAAAGAGAAAGCATATAATGTGGCGAAGGACAGTGGAAAACCAGAGGACAGGGAAGCTTACAAAGACCAACAGAGGGCAACAAAAAAAGAAATATGGAGGGAGAAGATTAAATATGAGGGTAAGTTAGCCGGTAGTATAAGTGAAGACTGTAAGAGTTTCTTTAGGTATATAAAGGGCAAAAGAGAGGCAAAAGTGGACATTGGACCACTGGAAAATGACGGTGGAGAGATAGTAGTGGGGAACAAGGAAATGGCTGAGGAACTGAATAATTACTTCGCGTCAGTCTTCACAGTGGAAGAAACAGGTAATATCCCAAAAATTCAAGAGAGTCAGGGGGCAGAGCTGAGTATGGTGGCCATCACCATGGAAAAGGTGCTAGAGAAACTGAATGGCCTGAAGGTGGACAAATCACCTGGACCAGATGGACTACACCCCAGAGTAAGAAGATAGCTGAACAGATAGTGGAAGCGTTAGTGGTGATCTTTCAGGAATCACTAGAGTCAGGGAGGGTCCCAGAGAACTGGAAAATGGCTAACATGACACCCCTGTTTAAAAAGAGAGTAAGGCAAAAGACGGAAAATTACAGGCCAATTAGCCTAACCTCAGTCGTGGGTAAGATTTTGGAGTCCATTGTAAAGGATGAGATTGCTGAATATTTGGAAGTGTATAGTAAAATAGGACAAAGTCAGCAGGGTTTCATCTACGGAGGTTATGCTTTTCTGCTAGAATCCTTTGAGGAAGTAATGATCAGGGTAGACCAAGGAGATCCAATGGATGTTATCTACCTGTTATCTATCTTCAAGAAGGCCTTTGATAAGGTGCCACACAGGAGGCTGCTGAGTAAGATAAGGGCCCATGGTGTTAGAGGCAAGGTGTTAGCATGGATAGAAGATTGGCTGTCTGGCAGAATGTAGAGATTGGGGATAAAGGGATCTTTCTCAGGATGGCAGCTGGTGACAGGTGAAGTTCCACAAGGGTCAGTTCTGGGACCACAATTTTTCACTTTGTACATTAATGATCTAGATGAAGGAACTGTGGGCATTCTGGCTAAGTTTGCAGACAATACAAGGATAGGTGAAGGGACAAGTAGTATTGAGGAGGTGGTGAGGCTGCAGAAGGACTTGGACAGGTTAGGAGAGTGGGCAAAGAAGTGGTAGATGGAGTATAACATGGAAAGTGTGAGGTCATGCACTTTGGTAAGAAGAATAAAAGTTTGGACTATTTTCTAAATGGGGAGAAAATTCAGAAGTCTGAAGTGCAAAGAGACTTGGGAGTTCTAGTCCAGGATTCTCTCAAGGCAAACTTGCAGGTTGTGTAAGTAGTCAGGAAGGCAAATACAATGTTGGCATTTATTTTGAGAGGATTTGAATATAAAAGCAGGGATGTACTACTGAGGCTTTATAAGGCTCTGGTCAGGCCACATTTGGAGTATTGTGTGCAGTTTTGGGCCCTATATCTCAGGAAGGATGTACTGGCCCTGGAGCAGGTTCAGAGGAGCATGGTCCCAGGAATGGAATGCTTAATATATGAGGAACGTTTGAGGACTCTGGGACTATACTCATTGGAGTTTAGATGGATGAGGGGGGATCTAATTGAAGCTTTCAGAATACTGAATGGCCTGGACAAAGTGGATGTTGGGAAGATGCTTCCATTGGTAAGAGAGTCTAGGACCCGAGGGCACAGCCTTAGAGTAAAGGGAAGACCTTTTAGAACGGAGTTAAGGAGAAACTACTTCAGCCAGAGAGTGGTGAATCTATGGAATTCACTGCCACAGAAGGCTGTGGAGGCCAAGTCATTGATTATATTTAAGACTGAGATAGATAGGTTCTTGATTATCGAGGGGATCAAGGGTTACGGGGAGAAAGCAGGAGAATGGGGTTGAGGAACTTATCAGCCATGATTGAATGGCAGAGCAGACTCAATGGGTCGAATGGCCTAATTTCTGCTCCTATGTCTTATGGTCTTATGGTCTTATGCTTCACAGCTGACATAACTTTCTGACGTAGCAAGAACTGCAGAGTTCTTTCTGAGTTGTGAACTAACCTTGGACTTCACTCACTTTAATCTGATTTTTCCTGTTGTCAACCTTTCCTAAAATATGGGAGCAACTCTTTCTTGGACCTCTGATAAAGAACAAGAGGAGCTGCATCAACAGTACTTGGAACGGCAACAATTTCAATTGCATACCAGATGCTTTCTCATCAAATACATAGCTGTTCATAGGACAGATGGGATCGAAACAGTTGACCAACATGAAGGTTATACTCCCAACCAGGGTCTAAAGAAGTAGAGTCTGCTTTCTTGATATCCCTGAGGACCCATGCCTCATCAAACTCAGAATTTCATAGGAGAACATTGCCAGCACCTGCAACTTCCTCAAGCAAGGCTTCTTTCACTGTGGACCTAGTAGTATGAATTGCAGTGACTATCAATTTAGCTGTCACTGTAGATCCATCCATGGCTTTGTGTTCTTTCCCTAAATTTGTGCTTTTTTCTCTCATGCAAGGAGAGTAAACAGTGTCATGACTGTGAGAAATGAATTGTGCAGAGAGGAGGTTGTTGCACCAATTATGAGATGTCAGATAAATGTCATTATTAGCCAATCAGATGGGTATGTGAGGATGTGTCTGGAGAATGAGGAATGAATGGAGCTGCAAAGTTTGTTGGCCTGTGGGGTGCTGTACAGGAGAATGCTGGGGAAGTCAGACTGTGGTTGTTAGCACTTATTCACCTTTCCTGCTGTCACAAGGTTAGTCAATCTCTCGAGGAACAGTATCCATGTTCCAGGCATAGTACTATTTCTCAGCTCCTCGATAATTTCTATCCACAAGTACTTGGTTTGAAAGACTGGCCTCTTATTCCTATCTATTGAAAACAATACTTCCCATCTTTGCCCTGATTAGGCACATAGTGAGAAGGTTTATAAATGGCCACCAATTGAAGCCCTCCATTAGGTCAGCAATGTCCACTTATGAGCCTTGTTCCATCATTGGGTGGGGAACTTGCTATGCAATCACCCCAAAAAGCAATTCCTGCCAGGGTTGGCAGGCTTCCAGGACAGGTTCCTCAGTGTCTGACCATAGAATCTGGTATCAAGAAGGAGGTGCCCACTGAGAGATACCTCCTTGCTCTTGCTACCACTACTCCTTCATCTTTGTATTTATATGTTTTCATGTTTTATATAATTTTAATATTTATATGCCAGGAGATATGAGTGAAGAGGAAAAAAAATCAGAAGATGATATTGACGAAGATGACGAAGAAACCCCCATCACAGCTGTAGCCCCAGCAGTAATCCTTCAAGAAGAGGAACCTGCAGATGTGTCTACAAGTCCTGCTTTTCAATGCCTGGATGAAGTAAGTTCTCGTCTATATTTACGCTATTTAATGTTTCTGTGCAGCTTTAAATATGGAGAATATTTTGCTTGAACTTATCTTGCTCTTAAAATCTTGGGTATTACTTTGATTTTTAATAGTGTAATATAGCGTGATAGCAAGTCAGCAACTTATCTCACATCACCTTCTGACTTTTATTCCTTTTGACTGTGGATAAAGGGAAGACAGGAAATGTGAAGGAGATTCAGGAAATGGGGAATGGGAAAGAGATAACTGGAAAATAGTCGATGAAGTCAGAATGAAATTGTGGTTGAGGAGACAGGTTGATGCAAGTGTATGAATTCTGCAGTTTCAGTAAGCTTGGTGGGAAATAACCGACAAATATTTCCAGTTCCTGGGAACTGGATCAACGAGTGATCTTACTGGCCTTGGAAGAGAATTGGATGACAGTTAAAAATACCAAAAAAGAAAGGCAACCAACTTTCTCTACAATAAAAGGTTTTAAAAACAGATGTTGCAACAGCAAGAGTTAAGTTCAAGTTACATAACTCTGCAGACTCCACCAAATAAGACCAAAAGCAATTGACCAAGGGCAATTCAATAAACCTAGTTGCTAGTCCCTCTACCATCGCAGATTTTTACCAATGCTAAAGGAAAGGAGGGAGACAATCTTATCTTATCCTCTGCTATGGTTAGTTTATTACTGAGGGTTAATGACATTAGTTATAGGACCAAATGGTCCTATGTTATCTAGTGGGGTTGGGGAGGTGAGGTGGTGGGGTAGTGGTGAGAGGAGGACAGGTGGAGGTACCATACCAAGTTGTTGCAGATGAAAAAAAGTTACTGGAAATTTCAACGTAACTATCTTCTTAACCTTGTCTTCTTTTGTGACTTTTCTACTTCAGTGGTCTTAATCATTGACGTCATCAATTAATTTCGTCCATCATCCCTACATCACCCTACCCCTTCTCAGATATCCTTTTGTTTCTATTGCATTGCACTTTAACATCATTAATTACTTTTCAGTATAAAGACTTGCATTTTTCTGTTCTACGCATCATGAACCTATAAACAACAAAAAAAAATAATTTATTTTAATGTATTGGTTGAGGGAAGAATTTGGCTAGGAAACTGGACAAACCAAGTGCTCTTGAATGACATATATGTAAATAGAATAGATCACACCATTACCTGCAATTGCTTGCTTTATTATAGAAATATTTGTTTTGTTTAAGAGTTGTACAGAGTTTTACAGAGCTCGTGACAGGCCTCAGTGCTTATAGTAAATATATCATATTGAGAATAGCTTAAAAAACAAGTGCAGCTTTTTTACATATCTTTCAAAAACAGTATAGGAGAAGGGTCCAGATCCGAAACGTCAGCTTTCCTCTGATGCTGCTTGGCCTGATGTGTTCATCCAGCTCTACACCTTGTTATCTCAGATTCTCCAGCATCGGCAGTTCCTACTATCTCTAGCACAATGCAGTTATTTTGATTCTTTCATTGGCACCTTTCTAACAATTAAACATATTTACAATTGTTACAACTCTCTGGCCTTAACATTAAATTGCTGAGTAAATTATGCAAAATAATATGTTAACAGTGGATGAGCATTTCTAATAACAAGATATTCAGTGCAATCAGTAAAGATATATTTAAAGCTAAAATAATCAATCTGAATACTTTTTAATATAGCACAGTTAATTGGAAATTTCTATTGTCTGCTATAATTGAAGTTATGAAATGATTCATCAGCATTACAATATTTCTACTGAAGTTAATTCCAGCTAAATTTCTTTTCGATTAATTCTTCATTGAAAATTCTATTTAAGCATATAGCTGAAATTCTTCAAAATGAAATAAAAAATACATACTTTATAATTGTTTCCACCCAACTCCTTAAAAGATGAGGAAGTAAAAATTAATTTATGCCCTTTTATAGGCAAAGATTTAGAGCTGTAGGCAGCCTGCACCCCAACTGTCAGGCCTGAGACATGGATGGCCCATTTCAACATTTGGCATGCTGCCAGTACCTGTTGACCTTAATTACACTCATTAATAAGCAGTACAAATATTTTACACCCACATATACATATCTTTCTTTAACATGTTCTCTGTTGACAAGAACATATATTTATATTTCATTTAATGTTTTAAGATGCTTTTTAAAGTTATACAAAATCCAATGTTGAATTGTAGAGCGATTACTAAAACTTTGGTTGAAAAGGTGTGGTTTTGAGAGGATTTTAAAGTCCAGAAACGTGGAGAGACAGTAAGGTTCAAAAAGTACTTCCAAGATAATGGAAGGACTTGCGATCAGTTATAGAGAAAAGTGACAGAAGATGGCACAGGAGGTCAGTCAGAAGACTGAAAAGTATGGGAGAGGCGACAAGGTAAAGGTAGGGCATAGCAAGATCTTGGATGGATCTGAAAATGAGTACCAGGACTTAAAATTCAATATATTGGAAGAGAACGGACAAATGTAGATCACAAGGACACTGTGATAGATGATCAAGATTTAGTGTGAAAAAGAATATGAATGGGTGACATTTTAACATGCTGTACTTAATATAAATTAGAGAATAGGAAACTAGCCAGGAGCTACTGAACAACTCAAGAGATGTGAAATATATATAAGATATTTTTAGTACACATGTACTTGAAAGTAAGGGCAGAGGTGGCAATAAGCAGTATTGCTGATGGAAAGGAGATGGGGTTTGAAGTAAAAGCAAACGGTGCGGATGCTGGAAACCTGAAATAAAACTGAAAATAACAAGAAATACTCAGCAGATCTTCCAACATCTGTGGAGAGAGAAACACAGTTTATGTCTCAGATAAAGTGCCTTTCTTCAGAGATAGAGTTTGAAGCTCTAGATCAAACAAGACACTGATATGTGAACAATCTGAATCACCCTGAGTAAGTAATTGAGGATACAGTTGAAGTTGGTGAAAAAGGAGTAAAGTGAGGTCGGAAACGATGGCTTGATCTTCCTGGTGCTTGGCTGGAATAAGCTTTGATGCACATATGATTTTATTTCAGAGAAGTATTCCGACATTATAGAAATAGCCCAGGGGTTGTCAGAAATGATAAAGAATAAAGCTGGATGTTACTTTTATTGCAGTTTATGCTGTAGAATACAGCTCTTAAAATGATTGCACAGTGAAAGCTCTCCAATACCATGTTTAAAATAATTTGGCAATTTTTTTTTGTTGCTACATACCTATGGCTTAAACGTCTTAGGCCTAATGAGCATTCTTACTGACTTAAAAGACTGACGATAGCCATTCAGAATTTCATTTGCTGCATTGTGCCAAGTGCCCCAATAAATACCATTTCGTATGCCTTTGTAGGGTTTTTTATAATATTTGCCATTGAGATTAGCTGACATACAAGCATCAAACCACCAGCCAGAGCCATAATATGCCCCACAGTTACCCAAAGAATAGTTATCATTATCTTTATCTTTGGTGGTGAAATATTTTTGATCATGGTTGTAATTCTTGTTATTATGCAGTGCATCACCAGCTGTGCCTGAAAAGCCATTAACATTCAGGCGATAATAATGATCTTCATCTGCAACGAAGAATTGATCGTATGAGGCATATTCTTTGATGCCGTTCCAGTCTTCTATTTCAATTCTCAAAATCATTTCCTTGGATTTTGTCAAAAAATGTATTTTGTCATTTCCCAGCCAAAATTCTGTTGAGAGATTCCCAAAACCATTTTTGTATTCAGCCCAAGTGCGATTAAAATTGACACTACCATCTTTGCGAGACTGCAGTACTGTCCAACCACCATTCTCAGTTTTCATATCACAATAAACTGGAAAACTTTCATTAAAGCCATGGGCAATTACATAGATGCCGCTTTTCAGCTGTTTGAGTCCGTAATAGTCTGAGCAATCTTCAGGAAATTTTATGGCTGAAAGAAAGTACAGAACTAGGTCATTAACTTTGCCTTTTAATTCATACCAGCTGAATTATGACCTATTAATAGGTATATATTACGATAATCTTTCACAATATTAAATACAGCACATATAGAATGGAGAAACCTTCTATTACAAAAGTCATTTTAAACAAGTAAATATCAGACAGATCTTTAAAAATTCTTAAATAAAATCTTAATTGATGGTGATCTGTGCTTTAGCTGTGTTTCAAAATTCTACTTTCCTAACAATGAAATGATTTGGAAATCAATCAAAAATGATAACACAAAAAGGGTCAAAATGCACATTTTTCTCAGTTCTTTACTCATAATACTATCTTATTCATCTGCACAGTAAAATCTATGTTGACAAACTACTTCCCTATTTTTGTGGTTTTAAGAAAGCCCAGTATTCACAAAAGCATTTCGACAAACAATACTTGGCTGCAGCGGGCGACACACAAGTTACATGACATGGTAATACAAACTAATTGTGTCTGCAAACAGAGCCAAATTTGTTGACAGTTTTAAAGATAAAGATGGACTCTTTAATAAAAGTATAGTTGGACTCCTGCATATAGGCAAAATCAATAGAAGCAATTTCTGCAATTAAATATAAACAAGATGTGATGGGTGCAATTTGGTATCTCTAGGCCCAGAGATATACTTTAATATTAATAGTTTCAGTTCAGAGTTAATCTAAAAAAGAGGCATTTCATTTGTAAAGAGAGTGGATGTAGGACATGCTTTATAGTAATTTCTAGTAAGCAGACAATCTTGGCAAAAGGAAGTGCTTAGGCCTTGATGGTAATTTGTTTCTTTTTAAGTATATTTATTTACTTTATTTTTTTTCCTGTTGCCCAACATGCCAATAATGCCTGGCAGTTTTGGGTAGGAGATCACAGGACCAGGTGTAGACTGTGAATGCAACCTCCCAGTCCTCCATGCTTGTCCATATGAATCATACCCAGAGTTGAAATCAAGCCCTAAGCTCAGGTTGTCTTTTAGACTTTTCTGATAATATGACATGCAGCATGGGAACTACCTGCAAGATCACAATATTGCAAAAGTATGGGGCATGAAAATTAGGATTTGAGTAAGGGTAATTATTGGGTAAGAAAACTTGTCTCAACGTTTCTCCAGAAGTCCTATTTTAAACGATATTATTAAAAATAGATAGCTTGTAATTTACTGTACAAAATATTTACATTTATGAATATTCACATTAATTTGCTGTGATGAAAGTCACAAAAAACCCTCAGTTTGCAATGCAACTGACATTAAAATTAAAAATTGAAAGAACTGCGAATGCTGTAAATCAGAAACAAAACAGAAATTGCTGGAAAAGCTCAGGATGTCTGGCAGCATCTCTGGAGAGAAATCAGAGTTAACCCTTTGGGTCGAGTGACCCTTCCCCAGAGGAAAGGTTCTGAGGAAGGGTCACCAGAGCTGAAACATTAACTCTGATTTCTCTCCCAGGATGCTGCCAGACCTCCTGAGCTTTTCCAGCAATTTCTGTTTTTGTTTCTGACATTAAAATTAATCAGGTTGATGTAATTTTTAGCTGATGCGAATGCACACATTAGTGAAATATTTAATTTTGTGTCAATTCACTCTTTAAGACCAGCAAGAAACTCCCTGCTCCTTATGAGCAGTTCAATTAATTCAGAAAGAACAACCAGCCAAATAAGCTTACTTACAAAGTGAAAGGGAGTGACAATTAGAAATTTAATACATTATACCTATTTAATGAAGTCAAAACACTGAACAGTATTTTACAAAATTCATATCTCAGTATTTTATATATTTTTTACATATTACTGCAAAATCCAGTTGAATTGAAAATTAAAAATTTGGAAAATCAAATAATATATCTTAATATTTGACAGTTTATCAGGTGACAAAGTTTTTTCATTTTGTAGTATAGATAAGGTTCATGAATCAAAGTATTGCATTGTTCAATTTGTCCGTTGAAACATAATTCTAGAATTTCAAGTTTACATCTACTTATAATGGGGCAGAAAATTAGCATAATATTCAACACTATGACTCCTGGTAATATTGATAGTTTTGTATTCTATATTTCACGCATGGATTAACTTACTGAGTTGACCTTGAGCTTCACAATTTGTAGAACACTTGTTGTTCAGTGTATTCACTGTATAGTTAATTTTTGAAAGCTCATTGTTAATGTGGTGCAAAACATTGTCCATATTCAGAATAGTCATCTGTTCTAAACGACCCTGAAGCACATTGATTTGATTTTTGGCATTCTTTAATAAACCTGTTAGCTTAGTAATTTTCTCCTCCAACAACGATATTCTATTGGTATCCTTTCTTCCATATTCTATATTTCCAGTAGCTTGCTGATGACTAATAGGCTTTTTCTGGTTTGCTTCCAGCCATCTATTCTTCATCTTATGGACTGTTGCTGTTAGACTTTTCACTTGTTTGACAGTCTGTTTGAGGAGTTTTGTCTCTTTGGGTAGCTGAAAGGTGAGAGGTGGAAGGTTGACCTTATAATGACAGACTTCATCTTCATCGCACTCTGTGCGCTTCAGCTTGATGGCACAGGCTCCGTTTTCGTTTCTTCCTGTGGAATTTGTGAATCTGCTGGAACTGCTGTATTCCACAGGAGCTTCAATACAAAGTATTAATCCAACATTCAGGAAAAAGAATGCAACGGCAGTCTTCATTGTATCTACAAACGTTTCACTAACAGTGAAAGCAAAAATGCTTTAAACCTATAATAAGTAATGCCGTACTGTCAGTACCCCAGCACTGACTAACGGGGAAGTCACTGCGCAAGCTGCTAAGGATATAAATACTGTAGGTGGGTGTTCACTTGTGATATCTATCTGTCAGTCTTCATTATTGACAGTCACTTAGCCTGCCTACATGAATTGAAAATTACCTCAGTTACAAAACAGTATGTTGGAGCATTTTATATTTTAACAGAATGTAAATACTGTTTTTCTGATTTAAATATGCATACTACACATTTCTGTTGCAAACATGCCAGCGATTTAACCTGTGGGGCATTTTCTTGCACATAGTAGGTAACCGAAATGGTTTATGCACCCTACGTGTGCATTTTTTGGGGAAAACAGGAAGGAACTTTTCCTCTTGGTGGAGAGATCAAAGAGCAGTAGTATAGATGTAAGATAGAGGGCAAGAGTTTAAGAGGGGAAGTGAGGGTGATGGGAGTGCGGAACTCACTGTCTATAAGAGCGGTAGAGGCAGAAATACTCATAACATTTGGGAAGTATATAGATGTGCACTTGCGATGCCAGAGCGTACTAAGCTATGGGCCAAGTGCTGGAAAATGAGATTAGAATATAAGATGCTTATTTTTGAGCAGTGCAGACATGATTGGCCAAAGACGTTTCTCCGTGCTGCAGACCTCAATGAATCTATGACACACAATACGATATTGGTGAGGGCATTAATGTATAAGTATTGTACCTCAACTGGAACCATGCAAACCAAACAAATGATGTCATGTTAGCTCTGCCATTTTGGAACTCGACATTCCAGTAAATGCATTCTTGGAAACACTCACAATTAAACTTGTAAGCATTTGCAGGAAGAATCACCCCACCGGTGATAGTCAATGGGATCATCAAATATTTAGAAGTTCATTGCTGTTCGACCTCTCTGGTTACTGGTTTTATTCTTCAAATGGTTGGTAGATTTTAAAAGAGAATAGAGAAACTTGCATTTATATAGTGCCTTTCATCACAAGGCCATCCGGAGTGCTTCATAACATTTAAAATACTTTTAAGGTTTAATAACTTTTAAAATGTAGGCTATGTGGCAGTCAGCTTCTCAACTCAGCAATTTAATAACGACCAACTAATCTGTTTCTAGTCTGTTGGTTGAGAAATGTGCATTGGCCAGGTCATTGAAATGATTCCAGTGCTGTTCTTCAGAATAGTGCTATGGGTTCTTTTGCCTATATCGATGAGGGCAGGGGAGACCACAGGTTCATGCCTCATTCAAAAAGCAAAAAAATCTGACAGTGCAGTGCTTCCTTAATGCTGCATGAAGTGTCAACCTAGACATTTGCATTTAGGTCCTGACTTAGAGCATAGATAGGAACAGGAACAGGTCATTCAGCTATCTGGCCTGCGCCGCCATTCAATTAGATCATGGCTGGTCATCCACCACTTCATTGCCTTACTATCTCCTTTTCCCTTCATCTCAGCAGCCTCCAGAGATCTGTCAATTTCTATCTTGAACATACTCAATGATTGAACTTCCATGAACCTCTGAGGTAGAGAATTCCAAAGTTTTGTCACACTGAGTAAAGAAATTCCTCTTCATTTAAGTTTTTGAACTCACAACATTCTAACTCAGGCAAGCTCTGTATTTCTTTCGCGGGATGAGAGCGCCACTGGCCAGGTCAGCGTTTATTGCCCATATATCCAGCAAGTATACCAACCAAGCCATCTGTTATTGACAGGGGAGAGAATAAATTGAATTATCTTCTTCAGACCATATGCAGAGATTTTTAAAAAATTCATCTTAGTTGTTTTCCCTTTTGCTCACACCATCCGGGCAGGATTCATATGAACAAACAGAGAGGACTGGGAGATTTCACTTGTTGACTTCACTTACTCCACTTATGGAGTCATAGAGTCCTACAGCTTGGAGACAGGCCCTTCGGCACAAACTGATCCGTGTCGACCAAAGTATCCATCCACGCTAACCCCATTTCCTTGCACTTGGCCCATATCCTTCTAAACCTTTCCTATCCATGTATTCATCCAAATGCCTTTTAAATGTTGTTCACGCACCCAACTCAACCACTTCCCCGGCAGCTCATTCCATATGCGTACCATCCTCAGTGTAAAAATGTTGCCCCTCAGGTTCCCATGTATTCTTTCCCCTCCTACTTTAAACTGATGCCCTCCTGTCTTTGATTCCCCAACCCTTGGAAAAAGACACCCTATCTATGCCACTCATGAGCTTATACACTTCTATAAGATCCCCCTTCAGTCTCCTACCCTCTAAAGAAAAAAGTCCGAGCTTGTCCAGCCTCTCCCTATAACTCAGTCCCCTGAGTCCTGGCAATATCCTTGTAAATCTCCTCTGCACTCTTTCCAGTTTAATAACATCCTTCTTATAGCAAGGTGACTGAAACTGAACACAATACTCCAAGTGCAGCCTCACCAATGTCCTGTACAGCTGCAATATAACTTCCCAACTTCTATACACAATGCTCTGACTGATGAAGGCCAGTGTGCCAAAAGCCTTCTTTACTGCCCAGTGACTCCACTTTCAGAGAACTGTGCACCTGAACTCCAAAGTGCCTCTGTTCCAATGCACTCCTTAAGGCCCTACCATTCATCATGAAACTCCTTGATTTGACATTCCAAAATGCAACATCTCACACTTATCTATATTAAGCTCCATTTATCATTTCTCGGCACTCTTTCCCAGCTTTATTTTTATTCATTCGTGGGATGTGGGCGCCTCTGGCTGTCCAGCATTTCTTGCCCACCCCTAGTTGCCCTTGAGAAGGTGGTGGTGAGCTGCCTTCTTGAATCGCTGCAGTCCTCGTGCTGTGGGTTGACCTACAATGCTATTAGGGAGGGAATTCCAGGATTTTGACCCAACGACAGTGAAGGAACGGCAATATGTTTCCAAGTCAGGATGGTGAGTGGCTTGGAGGGGAACTTAGAGGTGGTGGTGTTCCCATATGTCTGCTGCCCTTGTCCTTCTAGATGGAAGTGGTCATGAGTTTGGAGGGTGGTGATTGAGGATCTTTGGTGAATTTCTGCAGTGCATCTTGTAGATAGTATACACTGCTGCTACTGAGCATTGGTGGTGGAGGGAGTGAATGCTTGTAGAAGTAGTGCCAGTCATGCAGGCTGCTTTGTCCTGGATGGTGCCGAGCTTCTTGAGTGTTGTTGGGGCTGCACTCATCCAGGCAAGGGGAGTATTCCATCACACTCCTGACTTGTGCCTTGTAGATGGTGGACAGGCTTTGAGGAGTCAGGAGATGAGTTACTCGCTGCAGTATTCCTAGCTTCTGGCCTGCTCTTGTAGCCACTCTGTTAATGTGGCGAGTCCATTGAGTTTCTGGTCAATGGTAACCCCCATGATGTTGATAGTGGGGGGATTGAGTGATGGTAACACCATTGGATGCCAAGGGACGGTGGTTAGATTGTCTCTTATGGGTGTTGGTCCTAGCCTGGCATTTGTGTGTCATGAATGTCACTTGCCACTTGCCAGACCAAGCCCAGATATTGTCCAGATCTTGATGCATGTGAACATGGACTGCTTCAGTATCTGAGGAGTCACGAATGGTGCTGAACATTGTGCAATCATCGGCGAACATCCCCACTTCTGACCTTATGATGGAGGGAAGGTCATTGATGAAGCAGCTGAAGATGGTTGAGCCGAGGACACTGCCCTGAGGGACTCCTGCAGAGGAGATGTCCTGGAGCTGAGATGATTGACCTCCCACAACCACGACCATCTTCCTATGTGCCAGGTATAACTCCAACCACTGGAGCATTTGCCCCCGATTCCCATTGCTTCCAGTTTTGCCAGGGGTCCTTGATGCCACACTCGGTCGAATGCAGCCATGATATCAAGGGCTGTCACTCTCACCTCACCTGTGGAATTCAGCTCTTTTGTCCATGTTTGAACCAAGGCTGTTATGAGATCAGGAGCTGAGTGGCCCTGGCAGAACCCAAACTGGGCATCACTGAGCAGGTTATTTCTGAGCAGGTACTGCTTTGGTAGCACTGTTGATGACACCTTACATCACTTTACTGATGATCGAGAGTAGACTGATGGGGCAGTAATTGGCCGGGTTGGATTTGTCCTGCTTTTTGTGTACAGGACATAATTGGGCAATTTTCCACATTGTCGGGTAGATACCAGTGTTGTAACTGTACTGGAACAGCTTGGCTAAGGGAGCAGCAAGTTCTGGAGCGCAAGTCTTCAGTTCTATTGCCGGAATGTTGTCAGGGCCTGTAACCTTTGCAGTATCCAGTGTCTCCAACCGTTTCTTGATATCACGTGAAGTGAATCGAATTGTTTGAAGACTGGTATCTGTAATGCTGGGGACCACTGGAGGAGGCCAAGATGGATCATCCACTCGGCACTTCTGGCTGAAGATTGCTGTGAATACTTCAGCCTTATCTTGTGCACTGATGTGCTGGGCTCTTCCATCGTTGAGGATGGGGATATTTGTGGAGCCTCCTCCTCCAGTGAGTTGTTTAATTGTCCACCACTGTTCATGACTGGATGTAGCAGGACTGCAGAGCTTAGATCTGATCCGTTGGTTGTGGGATCGCTTAGTTCTGTCTATCACTTGTTGCTTTCGCTGTTTGATGTACAAGTAGTCCTGTTTGGTGGCTTCACCAGGTTGATACCTCATCTTCAGGTATGCCCGGTGCTGCTCCTGGCATGCCCTCCTGAACTCTTCATTGAACCAGGGTTGATCCCCTGGCTTGATGGTAATGGTTGAGTGGGGGATATGCCGGGCCATGAGGTTACAGATTGTGCTGCAGTACAATTCTGCTGCTGTTGATGGCCCACAGTGCCTCATGGATGCCCAGTCTTGAGTTGCTAGATCTGTGCAAAGTCTGTCCCATTTAGCACGGTGATAGTGCCACACAACACGATGGAAGTTATTCTCAATGTGAAGGCAGGACTTTGTCTCCACAAGGACTGTGCAACGGTCACTCTTACCAATACTGTCATGGACAGATGCAACTGCAGCTGGCAGATTAGTAAGGATGAGTAAGTATATTTTTCCCTCTTGTCGGTTCCCTCACCACCTG